AAGTTTATAAATTAGGTGGATTTCATCACAATAAACACATTTGCTTTTCAAAAGACACCAATAAGGAAATGACAAACCACAGAATGGGAGAAAATAATAATAAATAAATAAATCTGGCATGGGTCTTGTATCCAGAATACATAGTAACTATAACTCAACAGTAGGATAGAAACAACCATTTTTATTTGAATATTCACCTCAAAAAAGTATAAATGGTTAATAATTTTGTGAAAAGATTCTCAACATCATTAGTTATCAGGGAAGTGAAGAGCACATTGGCATAGCACTGTATAAGTACAGTACTAGAATAGCTAAAATTAAAAAAACTGACAATACCAAAAGAACACACCACAAATATATGGAGCAACTGGAACTCTCATACATTGCTAGTGAGAATGTAAATGATACAACTGCTTAGAAAAACTGTCTCTTTTATAATGAAACATACATCTCACATATAATCAGCCATTTTACTCCTAAGTATTTATTCAAGAGAAATAAAAACACATGTCCTCACAAAGCCTTGAACAAAAATATTCATAGCAGCTTGATTTGCAGTAGCCCCAAACTGGAAACAATTCAAATGTGCAACAATAGGTAAATGGATATTTTTGTAAAGTGATATCCATACAATGGAATACTACTTAGCCATAGAAAGGAACAAATATTGTTCTGCTGAGTCAGAGAAGCTAGACACAAAAGAGAACATACTATGTGATTCCATTTACATAAAATCCTAGAAAATTCCTACTACTCCACAGAGACAAAAACAAATCAGTGATTGCCTGGGAATGGGATGGGCAGAGGGATGACTACAAAGGGGCAGGAAGCAACTTTGGGGAGTGATAAGAAGATCTGCATCATGATTATGGTATTGGCTTCACAGAGTCAATGCATCCTACAAAGCTCCTTGATTTAGGTACTTAAAAATGGGTGCTGGTTTCTGCACATAAATTACAACTCAATAAATTTATATTTTAAATGTCTCAGTTATGTTAAAAGTAATCTGTTTCTTCCCTCAAAGGACTTGTAACCCAGAAAAGTAGAATAAGTGACAGTTTCTGTGCTATATAATAAAGGTTTGAACAAAGGTCTTCTCAGAGACCATGACCTTTGATCTTTGACTTAGATCTCAAAACACAGGTTAATTACATCATACAGACTACAGAGGAGTTCCTTGAAGTGGAAGGAACAGCAAGTACAAAGGCCTGAAGTAAGAAAGTGTATAGAGTGAACCTAAGAAGTTTGAGGCGAAACAGGAAAGCTTTTAGAAATTGATTTTGGGCCATTCTATTCTAGAAAGTGTAAAAAATAGCTGTAAAGGCAAAGAAGAGTTCTGAAAGCTTTAAAATAAGCAAGTGACATGATGAAAGTGATGGGCATTACTAACTATCACCAAATATTTCCAGCTCTTTCCAGGAATGTAGTAGATTTCATTTCCCTGCCACTTGCAAAATGAAGCATGGTCACATAACCACTTTGGCCAATGAAATGTGAAGTAGTATGTGTCACATCCACATGAAAACTTTTAGAGCAGTTTTTGATTTGGCACATTCTCTTCCCCTTCTGAGTGATCAGAGAAGAGCAGTTGAGTGAGACATTCCAGGAAGTTCCTGAGAGGCCATAATAAACAGAGCTCCTCACCTTTCCCATCTTGCTACATCCTGTGATGAGCATGTCACATAAATGGAGAAAAAAAAAGTCTTGTTTCTATAAGACTGATGCTTAGTGATTGTTCGTAATTGCCCCCAAAGTAATCTAACCTTCCTGAGACGATGTGCAGGTTTAGTGGAACTCTGACTATTACATAGATGATGGATTTCACACAAGAGAACTTACAGGGGAGGATACTGCAATCCACAGTTGATACGTGCAGGCACTAAGGCAGGGCCATGAGCTCAGAAAAGAATCTGGAGATGTAATAGCAAGAACTGACATGTGTTGATAATGACTGAGATTCCAAAAGAACCTAGGGGTCAACTATTCTAGAGGTGTTGAAAAGAGAAAGTTCTTACAAGAAGAGGAATGACTAAGTGGGGAGGGTTAAGTAAAACAAGATTAATTTTAAAATTAATTAAGATTAAATTTAACCTTTCGAAAAGGTTAAACAAGGAGCTACAAGCAGTCTGGCAAAGTGCAACTCGTCAAAGGCAGAAGCACATCCCTATCCAAAGAAAGATCATGAACTTTGGAAGAAAACAGACCTGGGTGTGAATCCTCAGTGAATTTGTCAAGTCATCCAATGTCATTCATTCAGCAAACAGTACTAGTAACCAACTTCAGTCATTCATTCAGCAATTGAACACCCTAAAGTTCCTCCCCTAATGGGGCTTACATTCAAGCATAGGGAAGCCAACACTACATATTTCAGTATTTTGCAGAGAATAGACATGATGCTGTGATTATGACAAGGAGGCAAAAATAATTATATTGGGCTTATCAAAGACAATGACCACTTCACTTTGTTCAAAACACTTCTTGAACAAAAAGTGGCACCAAAGTCAAAGGTAGAGATTTCTGTGTCTTTTGTATATAATAAGGATAGTTTATTGATCACAAGGGAGCAAGTGGGTTGTGCTTCACCCATTTCTACTGAGATGAGAACATCTCTATCTTGTGCCACCATTTCTCATCCACCTTATCTTCCTTTGTGCAACTGGAGGATCAAATTTTACTATGGATTGTTTTGCGAAGACCCTGCATTGGATTTCTATAACTCCTTGAGGTGGGTGCCATGATTATGCCCAGCGTACAGAGGAGAAGACCTAGCCCAGAGAGGTTAGGTCACACTATTAAGTATGGAAATGATTCAAAATTCAGAGTCTACTGTCGATACCAAGCTCTTAACCATGCTTCTTCCTTACTGTACAGGGTGGAGGGAAAGTAGGTTTACAGTTGTGAGTACATAAACCAGAGAGTTTATTTTGTAATATTGTTATTGTATTATTTTTCAAATGAACAAGTGTAAACCTATTTGGTCTCCCCCTCCCCCCCTTCATATTTACATCACAAGTTTCTCTCCTGCTTTGTTGTGGCATCAGAAGTGAGGTGCAGTTGACTGCTCCACCCACTCCAAAGGTGATAAAACTAAGTCTGGTCTTTCATCAAAATGACTTGGCTTCAGGGAAAAGAAATTAAGGTCCAAATTGAGAAATCTTCTGGAATTCAGCAAAAAGGAGGAGCATTTAACACTAACTTTGAGATTATTTCCTGCTTTCTCCCCCTACCCCCCCCCTCTAAGAGTAGTGTTAGTCCATGCAAGATTATCATATGCCACTTGGAATTCTTGGACACTGTTATTTCAACAGAGCCTCTAATGTTCTGTCTACCCAGGATGGCAGGAGAAGTTTCCATAAGAACCTCCCTGTCAATAGGAAGATGCTACTACATACCACACTGCAATATATATGGCCTGGGCACATGTAATTCTTAATAAAGAGTTTAATATATATTTCATAAATATATAATCTTAATAAATATAACAAATATTTGATTTTACTTATATTTTTAATAATGCAATAAATCTTAATGAAGATGTAATAATAAAAGTCCATTTATTATTTTCCTAAGAAGAAACCCTGATTCCAGGCAGCTAACTTCACTGAAACATGCAAGTAAAGCAGTGGCTCTCAAACTTGGTTGTAGGTAAGAATTTCCTGGAAGCTTCAAAACAAACTGATATGGGAGTCCTACCACTGGAAAGTCTGGTGTAATTGGTCTGGGATGAACGAGGTATCAGGGGTCTTAGAGACTCCTTAGGAGATTCTAATGCACAACCACATTTGACAATTGCAGGCATAAAAAAAATAATAACAATAATAAATAAATAAAAAACAGAGGGAAGACTACATAGTCACTCTACAGCCAAAAGGAAAAGGGGTGTGTCTGCATTCATCTACTGCCAGGGTTTTGTTCACCTCCATGGGTCTGCACACTATCAGACCCAATTCTAATTGAAGCGAGTGGTTCTCAGGGACCAAACCATCTATTTCACAGATGGTGTCTGAGGACCAGCTGCTGCAGATGTCAGCGGCACTGCTCCCACCCAGGGGTGCCAAACCTGGGGAAGAATTCAGGTGGTCTGTGAACTTGGATGGAAGTAAAAGTGACACCTCCAGCTTCACTGGCTTTCCTGGAAGCTCAGCATTTCCTTAGGCGATGAATATGGGCAACGAACTGCAATAGTACTGACAGCTCCTGGGAGTTCGCAGCCGCTGATGTTTTCATGTCACATTTCAGTTTTGCAGTTGGACTACTTTAAGATTAAAGTTATTTTAATAAATCTATTATCAGGTCTAGGTATTTAATGCAATGCTAATGATATTCGTCTGTTGTTATATCATGACTTTAATAGTCTGATCCTTGCATTCCAGTAGAACTGATTCTGATTTAACTGCGTTTCCTGTATTTAAAAGCATTATTCTGAGAAGGGTCTGAAAGAATCCCCAGAGTCAATGTGGTCAGTGGCACAAGAAAGGGCACCGGCCCGGCTTTGCAGAGTGTGCCCTGACCAGCCAGATAACTGCACTGTTTGCGTCCCAGGCCACCTCACCCAGGGCACTGCAGGAGGGAGACACACCACCGGGGACAGAGATGGCTCTAGGTTTCCCCTGCACTTCCGCAGCAGATAAGATTTAGCCTGAAAAGCCAGTTCAACACAGCGGAGAATAGGATGGGCATTCTCTTTCGCCTCAGCTGCCTTTTGCTCTTGGCATTTCGGAGTGCCCAGACTGCCAGGCTGGTGGTAACTTGAGCCTCCAAATTAATCAAAACACACAGCGCCCGGTTCAAACCCAGGCAGACAAGCCAGGGAGCCAGACACGTTCAACTCTGGTAACCCCCAGGCTCCTGGTGCCCCCCACCTCCCACCCCGCACCCCGCACCCCGCACCCCGCACCCCGCACGCCCCACCAGAGATGCCAGATTTCCTCCACTGCCCCCACCGGCAGGTGTCCCATGCCCTGGGCAGTGACTGTCCAAACTGGGTCCCGGCGCCTTACCTCAGGGGGCCGCCCCCAGCGCGGGGAGCCGCCCCATCTCCAGCCCGCTAGGCGCGCACCCCCAGGCTCTGCCGCGCCCCGATCTCCACCCAGCAGCCTCTCCGGGTGCGGCGGCTGGAGCGGAGCGGAGCGAGCAGTGAGACGGCACCGTCGGGAGCCGGAGCCGGCTGGCCCTCTCCAGCGCCGGCAGGCCCTCTCCAGCGCCCTCACCCCGCGCGCCTCCCACTAAATCTGGGCACGGCCGCTGGCCACTCCCTTCGCCCCCGCTCAGCCGCCTCCCCATCGCACCCCCCAAAAACCCCCACCTCCGCCCCGCACCCCGCCCGCGCCGCCTCGGCTCCCTCCGAGACCCGGGGAACATCCCTCCCTTCGCCCCCTCACCCTGGACCCTCGCCCACCTGCCCTTCCTCGCCTCCCGGGCACGACGCCCAGGTCGGAGGGACACAGCCCGGTGAGTTGCAGGGGTGGAAGGGGGTGGGGAGGGCGAGGGCGGGACCGGAGCCATTGCTTCCCTCCCTGGGAGCTGCCGTCAAAAGCCTGGGTGGGGAGGGACGGACGGCGCTGCCGGGCTCTACAGAACACGCCCCGGGCCGGCTGGCAGGCGAGGCCAGCTTTGCGGCCGGACTCCCCGCCCGAGAGCCACGCACGGGACGCGGCGGCCGCATCGCCCGCCGGAGCCGGACACGCGGGGACTCGGAGCGGGTGCCCACCATGGGCCCCTGGACGGCCTGGGGGCCGCCCGCCCTCCTGCGGCCGCAGGTGCCGGTGCTGGTGCTGGTGCAGGTGCAGGTGCAGGTGCTGGTGTTGCTGGTGGTGCTGCTGGCGGCCGCGCCTGCAGCGGGCAAGGTGAGTGCCGGGCGGCGACACCCCCATCCCGCGCGCTGCAACTCCCCCCCCCCCTCGGCCCGGGGGGCGCGCCGGCCAGGAGACCCTTCCTGATGGGTGCGGGGCCCATAAAGGGCCCTGGCAGGCATCGTGGGGGCGTGAGCCAGCGGGGATGCCCAGGGAGCAGGTGGGGAAGGAGGTGGGTGGGTAGATGATCGCCAGGGATGAATGCGTGAGAAGGCCGGACACGGAGACGCAGGGTGATGCCTCACAGGTTGGTGAATCAGAGCAGGCAGCATGTCCTGGCAGAGAGCGCACAGGGCTGGCAGTGGGAACCCCAGCAGGAGTCCTGGCCCTGCGGCTCCTTGGATGTCACTTCACGCTGAACTCTGACCTCTCCAGGTCTCGGTTTCCTCCTTGTCAAAGCTTGTGCTCCAGGGTTCAATCCGCATCGTCAGGAAAAGCCGATGCCATCACTGAAGAGTGAACAGCACCTTAGAGACAGCACTCCTCTTAGTATAAATGAAGCAATCTGTCACTTTCATTTCTAGTAGGAATTGGAAAGATTCCCCCATTCATTAAAAGCCAACCCATATTTCTTAGTCTTGGCGGCAATTAAAGATAAGTTGGGTGTCTGTTAGGACTCCTAGAGTTGAGTTACTTGATTTTTAAGTTGTGAAAATGAAATTTAACTTTGCAGGTTCTTTCTGTGATTTTTTACATTACATATTTTATCAATACTTTGGAAAAATAATTTGGGGTAATAATGCAGTTGTTTCATTTCCTAGCATGAGCAGATGTTTTACAAATTTAATGACAAGTTTATAATTGGAAATTAATAGTCGCATGCATTTCTGTTCCATAGAAAGATTTTTGGAACCGTTGGCCACATGTAATCCAAGTACTTTCCATGCAAGTTAAAATGTAAATTAAGAAATTACAGATGAAGCTAACATGCCCTTGATAACCTCCAAACATCTCCCCTTCCTCTGTCTAGACAAGGTATCCACTCACCACTTCATGGTTCTTTTGCAGCATTTCCTATGCATTTATTATACATGTACATATGTGGACCCACAATGTGTGTTTGTTTTTAACATAAATGATGTGATTGATTTTATATATATTATATATGTTATATGTTTGTTATATGTTATATGTTAACATCCTTTTGTAACCTGTAAACCTGTCCATGTCAATATTTAAGAAAGATCTATCTCTTTTTTCCTTTTTTGCCCCCTTGCATAGTTTTCTACAATATGAATATGCCAAAACTATTGGGTCTTTCTCCTACTGATTTACAAAACTTAGGCTATTTAGTGTTTTACATTTTATAAGTTTTGTAATCCATGTAATCTCTTCATGTAGCTGATTCTAACCAATGCACTTTGCATAGACTAGGAATGTGCAACCCAGGTAGCTCAGTATTTCTGGGGATAAAGGATGAAACTCATCCAAGTCAGTGAAGATTGTCTACCAGCTTTAATCTAGGAATAAAGAAATCCACAAGCAAAATACCTGGAGGAGATGTATGCTATGGGAAGGCTTGGGGAAAAGGTCCAGAGCAGTGTTTGCACATCCTTCTAAACTCAAAAAAAAAAAGGGGGGGGGATAATATTAGACAACGGTGGAAAAAAGAGGGAGAATTACATGTGTATAAGGATCTGCTAAAAAAAAAAGTGTGCTCTGTGATTATACAACCTCGAATTAGACTAATTTTCAATTATATTGTCACATTCCCAGATTATTATTTTTTATTGATATTTCTTTAGAAAGAGAGGAAGGGAAAAGGGTAGAGAGATAGAAACATCGGTGAGAGAGGTCATCAATTGGCTGCCTGTGGGAATTGAGCCAGCAATCCAAGCATGTGTCCTGACCAGGAATCAAAACAGAGACCTCTTGGTTCCTGGGTCAATGCTCAACCATTGAGCCCATATTATTTTTTACATGTCAAATGTGAGATAACAGTTTATCTTTCCTCTTTTGGCCCTAAAATTCCAGACTGGGCAGAAACATGGCAAGCAAATACCAGGAGCTGAATAATAGCTGGATTTAGGGAGAATACTCTCTCAACAGAATTCATTTTTAAATTTAAAAACATAAGTTGAGTTAGGAAATATGTCAAACTAACAAGAAGTGATGTGACAGACACCATTGGATCTGTCCTCAAGAGTAAGCAGGCATGAATAAGCTTTAACCTGTTTGCTCTCACCTGTTTTTCTTAGGAAAATCAATGTATTAATAGAGAAGGTCACACACACAGTTTTTACTCCATCTCCCACCCCTCTAAGGTGTGCACACAGCTGACCAAGGGTTTGAACTGTGAGTCCACTAATCTTTTTCTTAAATAAATGCAACAGCCCTTCCTATTCCAGGGTTTCACATCCTCAGATTCCCTATCAGCAGATTCAACCAACCGTAGATCAAAAAACAACAGTATTTCCTCATTCCCAACCGCACATGGAAAATACTGTTTTCAGAGGTCAGTTGAATCCACCAATGCACAGGGCCAACTGTAGAGTCAGAAGTTACACCAAGAGATCAAGATACTTTATTGTGCTGGGGGAGGGAGAGGGGGTCTTAAAAGGGCAATTGTGTATCATTCCCAGTGCATGGTTTTGTATTTATATTCTATGTGTGTGTGTTAGTTTCCATATATCTATCCATCTATCATGTATGTATTTTTTGTGGTCTTTTCAATTTTAAAAGATAAGTTTCACATTACACATACTTACTGGGGCTTTCAGAAAATCCAGTATTATGTTTTTTGGAGAGTCCCTTTTATTCATGTTGATACACATAGAATTGAATAGTACCTAATTATATAAATAAAGCACAGTTCATTTTTTCATCCCCCTTAACTCAGTAAACTTGTTTCCATGTTTTTATTCTACAAAGTTGAAATGTACATCTTTGTGTGTGTGCCATGGTAACAACCCAACTTTTCATTCCTAGATGGGATTCAGAAAGAGTTAATAAAGAAAGCATATTTTAAATTTTATTAGAAATTGTCAAATCGAGCTCCAAAAGAGTTGTACCAACGTGAGCCTAAATACCTATCTCCCCATATACTTAGCAAAACTTGGAATGCTTATATGTTTATGGGTTGTGAAATAGGACTAGTGAGTTTGTGAATCTTCATATTTTATTTTTTCCCCTGTATTTTATTTTTTTCCATTTTTTTATTAAGGTATTATATGTGTACATATCTTACCATTGTCCTCCCCCCAACTCCCATACATGCTCTCCTTCCCCAGTGTTTTTCGTCCATTGGTTTTGCTTATATGCATGCATACAAGTCCTTCGGTTGATCTCTTATCTACCCCATGTCTCCCTAATCTCCCTGCTGTAATTTGACAGTCTGTTTGTTGCTTTACTGTCTCTGTATCTATCTTTTTGTTCATCAGTTTATAATGTTCTTTATTATCCATAAATGAGTGAGATCATGTTGTGTTTTTCTTCCATTTACTGGCTTATTTCAGTCAGCATAATGTTCTCCAATTCCATCCAGGTTGCTGCAAATGATGGGAATTCCCTCTTTTTTATGGCAGCATAGTATTCCATTGTGTAGATGTACCATAGTTTTTTGATCCAATCATCTGCTGATGGGCATCTAGGCTGTTTCCAAATCCTAGCTATTGTAAATTGTGCTATGAACTTAGGGGTGCATATTTCCTTTCTGATTGGTGTTTCTGAATCTTCATATTTTAATTGGCAGTTTATATTTCCCTCAGAGTGAATTGCATGGAGAGCTCTTTGCTTATTTATCTATCATGACTTTTGTCCTTTTTGTTGCTAATTAATTAGGATATATGTTAATTTATATATGAAATCCAGTATATATGTATTTCCTCATTCCCAACTGCACATTGAAAATACTATTTTCCAGCAAGGTTGGTTGAATCCACCAATGCACAGGGCCCACTTTAGAGTATGTATATATGTGTGTGTGTGTGTATATATATATATATATATATATATATATATATATATATATATATATATATATATATATATAATTTTGCCATTTAAATGTGCAGAAAATATTTTATTCCAGTCTTTGATTTATCTTCTCATTTAACTATTGTTACCTTAATGTATAACATTTTTGTCTACTATAATTTCAAACTTAACTATTTTTTTCTTTAGTATTTTGTGGTTTGCATTTTTTGAAGAAATCCTTTCCTTCCCTGGGATTATAAAAATGTTCTTTAAAAAAAAATAGGTTTACAGTTTAACTCTTTTACATTTAGAACTTTTAATCCTGCAATGTTTTTCTACTTATAGAACATAATTTCATCTTCTTCCATAGAGGTAGCAAATTGTTCCAACACTACTTATTGAACAGTCCATTCTTTTCCTCGCTGTTTTGTAGTATTACATCTGCGAATGTGTGTAGTAAGCACTCATTCATATTTGCATCTGTTTTCATAAATGGGTAAGTTCATTTAGGACTTTACTTTCTCACAATGGTTTAGGGTTTTCTATTTCTTTAATTTCAAAGTATTTAATATCTTATCACTACTGTAAATGGCAAATTTTGCAAAACTTAATAGTCTTAACTATTAAAGATAAAGCAAAACACAGTTGAATTTTGTATTTTGACTTTAATAAAGCAACTTTGAATAGCTGAAATGCATTTAAGACTAAAAAATTTCCTCTAAAATACTGCTTTAGCTGCACCACACACATTTTAATAAGCACTATTTTAATATCATTAAATTTTAAAATATTTTCTAATTGATTTCTTTGCCCTATGTGTTATTTAGATGTTTATTTATTTTTAATAACCAAAAAGATGGGGATTTTCTAGTTATCTTTTTTATATAATTGTGGTAATATCCTGACTTCAAAGATTTCTATGTAAGTCAATTTTTGATAAAAATTTTTGATTATGCTATTAAAATTATAATGAATGTGCACATCTGTTTCTTAATATATCCTCAGTGGATATTTAATCTGAGATTCTATACTTTTCATCAAATCTTGAAAATTGTCAGACATTTCTTCTTTATATTTCT